ATTGGGTGGTGCGTGTTGGAGTCTCTTTTATTAATTTCATTATCAAGTTTAATAGCTAACTTTGCCATTTCTTCAACTTCCTTGAATTCGTCCCGTACCATATGCACCGTGATTTCTTTCTTTAATCCTTGCTTAAATTGAGATAGTAATACATTCTCAGGCCATTTAACTATCAACGCTAATTCCGAAAACTTAATCCAATAATCTACCACTGCCTTTGTTTGAGTTAACGCCCTCATTTCTTTTTCTGCTTTAGCCAATCTTTCAGAGTCAAAGAACGTCGCTTTAAATGATTCAATGAATTTTTTCCAAGTAACTTGTTTCATTTTATCTTGGTCGAGTAGTTGATCGGTAAAATTTTGGCTCCAAATACTGGCTTTCCCATCAAGGTAAGATAACGCGAACGCAACTTGAGCTTGTTCGTTCACAAATGCAGCAGTATTCATTTGCATATATAAGCAGACCTGATTAACATAAACTTCGGCTTTCTGTCCTTTAGTACCATCATATTTATTCGGAGTGGCGATCTTAGGAGGCTTTATTTGACTAATCGTTTGCGGAACAGAGGTCTGAGCGATCGGGGCGGAGCTGTGAGGTAGTTGAGTGGAGGTAGTGCGGGTTGTTTCAAATTGACGTAGTCGTTGTTCTGCTTCGTCACTTCTTCTCTCAGCTTCTTCTCGTTTCTGCGATTCTTCAGCTAAGCTTGCTTTGACGTCTAAGAATTGAGTGTTTAATTCTCTCATTTGCCGTAAAATCTCGGCCATAGAGGGCTGTTCGTGTTCTGGATTCATTGCGGTCTCTTCTGTCTCGTAGAATTCTTTTTCCGATGACTCCGAGTCCGTTGAGTTAGAGGGAAGCTTAAAGTTTGGCGTTTTGGAAGGATGCAGTGGTGTTCGAGATTATGCGGGGTATAAGTTATCTTCTTTAAATGTTACTTCTGTGGTAATACTGAGTAATCAACTTTCTTCTAACTTTGCTTGCGGAGTGCAGATTAAGTTTATACTTTAATTTAACTTTATTAACTTTGAAAATCTTTCTTCTTAACTTCTTTTAACTTTCTTCTTAATCGTTCGTTTTGATTTCTTCTTACTTTCGGTGATTCTTCTCTTGGATCTCTTTTGATGAGACTTAGCAATATGTTGTAGCTTCGAGAGGGAGATGCAAGAGAAGCTTTAAGGGTGGTCTCGTGAATATAGTAGATTGCTAAGTGAGGAAAAGCAATATGCACAACGGGAGACAAGACTAGTATGAACTCTACATGTAACACGCGTGACAGGTCATAACAAAAAACTGTACTATTAATCATTTTCCTCTGCCAAATTGGGGAAGTTGAATGATGTTTACAGTGAAAGTAGGTCACCCTGTGAGAAGAACTGATCGACATTCAAAGTCATGAGAATTGTAGATCCTATGAGAGGACAGCTCAACGAGCAAGGTCAGGTGCATGGTGGGGAAGCGTGCACACAGGTCTTGGGAGGCACAGGAGAGGTTGGGTCCGAGCGAGCTTGGGGGCTCTCCAGCACCCCCAAGATTGGGTAGGCTAGGACCGGACTCTCCGGTGTTCTCAGGTCTGTCGGGTTTATGGGGTATCCTACCCGGGAAGAGGGCCGTCCCGGCCTTTTCCGAGACGGTCCCGGTTAGGGCGATCCCCCATAGACCTCCCCCCACCCTAGCATGTACCTAGTTGTTTGTAGGAAATGTTAGCAGGACTTGTAACACAGAGAAAAGAAACAGTGTGAAATTACACAAACCTAAGACGGCTACTTCAGCACTATATAGGAGTAGATGGATTAACTGAGTTTTGTTTCTCTACTGATGTTGAGAATACAGAGAATGCAAAACCTATGATACCACTATTTGGTGAGTTTTGACCACTGCAGCAACAACTTTTCTAAGAGAAAAAGTGGTCAATCATTCTCAACTCAAATCAGATGTCTCATCCATACAAAAATCTGATGTGAATGGGCTCGTGCATCTCAGGCATGGAGAACAGACTCAAAAGTTGCCATTTGATCTATGTTTTTTTGCTTCTTATGTTATGTCTTTTTCTCTTTTCTCAAGCTTCAATATTATCCATCATGCTAATAAAGCTTACCTCTGTAGCTGCTGAGTGTGAACCCAGATACTTAGTATCTAGATCCATGACTCATTCCTAAATATCCTTATTTGGGTACTAAACAGACCCCCCCTCAATCCCAAGTCCACTTAGGTGGCTTTAAGTGTCTTACATAGCAGATGCCTGATATTATTGGGCACAGGGTCAGGCAACAGTCTGCCTAAGATGAACCAAGAGGTAGACAGACTCTTATAGTGATTCAAATTTGAATCTCATCCCTGACCAATGCTTTGAGTCTAGCATATGCAAAGCATGAGTACAGCTGTTTGCATAAAAAATGACGTCGCCTGTATATTTTTTTTTATTTTTTTTAAGTTGCACTAAGAATTACCAACGTAAATTCTACACAAAGAGCAGCTGTGTTGATCATGATATGCTGAATTTTAAAGCTTGTATGTATGTACATTGATTGATCATGGTTCCGTGACCAAAACTTTCCGGATTGCTATCAACAACGCAGCAACAGATACCATACTGGTACCGGTATTGTAGCATACCATATCTGTTCTGCTGAGTACCGTACCGGGAGTACCGTACCTTGGTGCTGGGTACAATACTGGAATGGCTCCAGAGCCAATTTTTTTACCAGGTACGGTACAATACTAAGTACCTGAAAGCCAGGTACGGTACTGGGTACTCTCTAGGAGCAGTACCGGTAAAATGGGTACTGTACCCGTACCGTACCTGGTTTTGACCAAGTGAAACAGCCAGGGTGGTATTCCAACCAAACCCTTTGTCCTTTTTGGCAAGTGGCTCCACTTTATCACAAACAACTTCTACCGATCTGGCCAAAATGGTATGTGTCTCATCCTTTCCTGTCTAATTATTCTAATAGTAATATTAGCCAAGGTAACAAAGAGGTACTAGCCGCGGTACCTAGTGGTACCTGCCTAGGTACAACACCGTACCGTACCGGAGCGTGTTATCCAGGTACCGGTACAGTACCGTACCGACCGCTTAATAGAGGTACGGTAATTGCCTTCAAGGCATAAGGCAATCTCAGCCGACAGCTACGGTACTCAGTACTGTAACTGATTTCAGGTACGGTACTGGGTACTCATTTTTTTGAGTACCCTCCTATCAGGTACGGTACTGGTATTGCAGGTACGATACCAGTACCGTATCTGTTGCTGCGTTGCTATCAAGTAGAAAGGCACTTAGAAAGCATGAAAAACATGTGGCGGATGGATTACTCACGGTGGGGTATTGTGAGCGCACCGGTTGGACATTGTTGTCTTGAGGCGGGATGCAAAGTCTAGCCAGAGGGTTAGAAGTGCTTCAGAATGAAGCTCAAAATGCTTTTGTGCCCTATTGGTGCTGGGGGGTCAATTGTGATGCTGAGCTTTGGTTTCAATCATACCAAAAGTTGAGGAATCTTGTGAATTTCGGATACAAAGGCAGCAATATTTGTGATCTTTCAGGATCTTTCACAAACTTTGCACCCTTGAAAAAGTCGAGTACAGCCTACTACAGCTCTTATGTAGAATCTATGTTGGTAATTTTTAGTGCAACTTAAAAAAAAGGCGACAGCATTTTTTATGCAAACAACTGTACAATGTTTGCTTGACTTGGTTTTTTTTATCTATTCATAATTGTATTCAACTCTGATACCCAAAAATTTGGATCATGATTGTTTGCTCTTCAACTTTATGAGCATCATGAAAACCTTGATGAGGAGATTCAGAAGGCTTTTCAGTTGAATGATACACAGTGTTATCAATTGTTGAACCTTAATCATCAAATAAATAACACAAGGAATGGTAAACTTATTCATGGATGTTATGAAGAGGCTCAATTGATTTGTTTTCCAAATTGTGAATTGGGATTCATGAGATCTTACAATATATTCAAATTATTATGATCATAAGTTGAAAACAAACAAGATCTAATTCTATACCATCTTCTAAGTCATGATCAAATACAAGCTGTATAATTTTAAGTAAAGATAGTTTTCATATGTAGTAGGGATTGCAGTTGATTGATTTTGATTGATCCAGAAATGAATACCTGATCCAGGAATAAACATTTCCATGTTGATAATGGTGCACATGGTTAATTTGGATCAGGAAGTGAAAGAATTTCTCGACTTTAGATGAGCACTTATTCTGAGTGGTTTGGTTCCCTGTATGTGTAAAGGTCGCAAAGCAGCTCAAGGCCACCTTACCAGACGTAGGGTTGAGGGGGGGTCGGGATATCGTGATGTGACTCCACCTGTCTCCACCTGGATTCTATCTCGATTCATCTTAAAGGACTGCTAAGCCATCTCGCAAGGAAAATCAAAGTCATCCAAGTTCCAACATCCAAAACCCATCAACAGAAAACGGACTGCGAAGATAGAATGAGCGAATTCAATGGATTACCATTCGAGATTATCGATCAAATCCTATGTGAATTTGTGGAACGATTAGAGAAAGAAAGCCGTGGAATAGAGGATGTCGTCACTGCTTCAGAACCGGTTCTCGAGATTTCATCATATACAGAATTGATTAGATTAAGATTGATCTCTAAAACTTGGTCTATAGCCGTGATACCATTTTATTTTCAAACGATCTCGATTCCCAACTCTAAACGTGCGAAAATAATCCTAGATAATTGGAAAGATAATTTATTCAGCCCTTATTTCCGATGTCCCGTTCAAAGACTGATGATCGAAGAACCTTGGAATCTACAAGAGGACGGCTTACCAAAAGATGCTGAAAGAACTTCACCTTCAATGAGTCAATTAGCAAGTATAATCGGATTACTTGGTTCAAACTTGAAGACTCTGAATATTGACCGCAGATCCTGCCTGAGCGTTTCTCCTGATTTCATTGAAGCTGTCAAGACTATCCAAGGTTTAAAATCATTGAAAATATCCTTCAAATTTTGTGGAAGAGAACATGGAATGTACGACCCAGATTCATTATTGGAATTAATTTCGGCAATACCAACACTTGAGAATTTATCACTTGACTCTGGTTCATTCGGACATTTGAATTTTACATCACCGGCTTTATCAAATTTGCGTTACTTTTGCTTTGGAAATGATGATGAAGAATTTGAAGGAATTTCAAGTATTATTGAAAAATCAAAAAACACTTTAAAATTCATTGAAATTAATGCTTGGTTTGAACCGAGTGAAGGCTTACAAGATGTTTTTGAGCCGGTCAAAGATACACTGGAGGGACTATTTACGAGGCTTTTTACTAAACAAGTCACCAAAAGTGTTACAGATTTGTCTTTTCCAAAGCTAAGAGTCATCAAGACCGGATGCTATGATGACATCACTTCAGAGATTGATTGGTTACAAGCTCCAATGTTGAAGAATGTTAGAACGATTGTGCAGGACGCATACAGTACTAAAATTTATTGGGGAAACGCTTTGAGAGCTGCTGGGGTGAATGCTTTGAAGAAAGTACCTAATTTTAAACACATAGTCTGTACCGCCAATCTGGACAGCAAATACCGTGAAGATTCTGACTTTATTCATCCTGATTTGTTTGAATTGTTCAAATCACATGGAGTTCAATGTCATGTCAGTCCTAATTTGACAGCAGATGAAATTATGGTTTGTCCCAAACCTATCTTATCACAACAACGGCTTGAGAGGCAGATTCTTTTGAAACCTTTATACTGATTTCTTTACTTTTTTTATCAGGACTTGGATTTGAGGCTCAATGGGCCGATGAAATACAGTGAGATTCCTTTCTAAGCATGGTGATGGTTGCACCAAATCCCATGCTAATATAAAAAATGCTTCTTATCTGAACAGACCTAATAGCCTATAGGAGCATAAAACATGCTCAAAATTATGCTATGCTTGAATGTCATGCTTGGCACTTGCAACTATTGAAAAATACGTACTACAGAAACCTAGAAGCAAAAATTGACAGACAGTTTTTCAATTGATCTTGGCTTTTCTACTCAATGCAGCCTAATTTACTCCAATTCACCTACCTTTCTTCTCCTTTCTTGCATCACATATAAGCATAAACACGTCAAAAAATCATGTTATGCTTCTTTTTTCATGCTTCACATGAAATTATACAAGCATATCAGTCAAAACCTGAAGCATATGCTTAAAATGCTTATAAATCCGAATTTACTGCCCACCAAAAATGGTCACATCATTTTTGATGCTGATCAAAAAATATGCTTGTAAAGGCAATGCTTAAAAAGGAATCCCACTGTAGTCTCATTGGATCTATATATATAATAATCAAATGGCATTGCATTCAAATTTCCAAAAAATCGACCAACAAAAGATGGTTTTGATAGCATCAAGTAGGTCAAGTTCTAATCTTTTTAGCTGCAGGCACACAGATTTTTGTCTTCAGCTCACTTTCAACCAACATGTACATCCTCATTCCAATTCAATTGCAATTCAAGAGAAATGTTCATATAAAGCTATCAAGGATACTCAGCAAATGTTTGCCAGCACCTTGCTTAGCATCAAGAACCCTTTGAGTCGAGCTTGCTTCTTTCAAATGACTTGGAACTTTATTTCTGTTCAATTTCAAAGACAGAAAATGACAGTTGTAAAGGCATTGTGAAATTCTGCAGATATGCTGGGTTACAGGGACAAGCTTACTTCACATGATCTAGTCACTGTGCAATAAAAACAAAGGAACAGTGAAGATTATATTTGAAAGGGCTAGATGCCAAAGTGCTTTCTCAGAGCTGATATTCTACTGTAAACAGTTCCCCATCTGGAGACTCAGTGAGTGGGTTGTGCCAATTGTTCCAGATGCGGCAAACAACACCAGTGTTGTCACTTTCCGGTGAACTTTTTTGATACCCCTACCCCCTAACTAGTTCCCTGCTATGTTCTTCATCCTTGTGGCACGATATCAGATACATATTTAAGAGATGATGATTGATGCTGATTGAAATGTCAGATATGAGCAGGTAGAATGTATGCTGGAGACTGTGCTGGATTGATACCTTTTTGAAAAACTGGTGACATCTGACTGAATCTATGAAAGATGAGTCAAGAGGCACTGTTGACATGTTCATCGCATATAACTTGCATGATGTCACAATGCCAAAACCAGGCAAGCACAACCAACCACGCCTCCACCTGGATTACATCTCACAAGGAAAATCAAAGTCATTCAAGTTCCAATATTCAAAAATCATTATCAGAAAACAAAAAAGGCAGATAGGATGAGTGAATTCAACGGATTACCATTTGAGATTATTGATCTCATCCTAAAAGAATTCGTGGAACAATTAGAGAAAGAAAGCCAAGGAGAGGATGGCAATGTCATCACTGCTTCAGAACCGGCTCTCACAACTTCATCATATACAGAATTGATTAGATTAAGATTGATTTCTAAAACTTGGTCTATAGCAGTGATACCATTTTATTTTCAAACCTTTTCGATTCCCAACTCTAAACGTGCGAAAATGTTTTTAGATAATTGGAAAGATAATTTATTCAGATCTTATTTCCGATGTCCTGTTCAAAGACTGGCGATCGAAGAACCTTGGAACCCACCTCACCTTCAATGAGTCAATTAGCAAGTATAATCGGATTACTGGGTTCGAACGCGAAGACTTTACAGTTAAATCACTTGATGAGATTTATTCACCCAGATTCACCCTCTAAACTTCTCATCCTATATCAGCCTTTATACAACTTCTTAAGAGCACTTTGTATATACTTTAGATACATACCCTTGAAGAATTTTACTGCATATATGTGGTGTACTAAAGTGAGTCTTGCTAAGTACACATCATTCAAACTTCCCTCTTTTTTTGTACATAACCGTGAATTTTTAAGGAGTATTTATTTGAGCAAAGTCTATGAAGTTTTTTTGTCATTAAGATCTGATGAATATAAGCCTAGTTGAGTTTCTAGAAGTAAAGTAAGTCAAGCAAAAGATGCCTTTCAGGTTTTCTCTGATCACATCTTTTCATCAGTTCAGGCCTTCAATCTTGAAAGAAAAAGATATTCATCCTCGTATCTCAATGTTGGCTCATGGGTGTAGATAGACAGTAGGTCACACCATCGAAATACACGTCAATCAAATGGATGGATGGAATGCAAGACAGTAAATGCTCGGTGTCTCAAGGTTGAGCAGCCAGCTCTCGTCAAGCATTTGGAACGGCCGGTGCCGGGTGCCTTGGAAATTCCAGGGTGAATGTCCCGCGCGGGATTGGAAGCGGTGAATCGGATTCGGGATCATTCACTGATCGATGATGAGACTGCGGAACGAGGGCTGTATGGGGTGTGCTGCGTCGAAACCTAGGCTACACACGATCAATGTACCACATGTAAACCTCCAGGAGTGTATCGCTTGGTTGGACGTGCTTCGACTGAACGAACCGCCCACCGAAACTTATCGTCTTCATCCCTCAAGTTAACTTCGACGAAAATGGTGAGTCAGATCACGATGTACCAAAATTGCAAAACGTCACGGCTCACTAATGTCATTTATATTTACTCTTTAGACCAAGCGAACCAAGAAAGTCGGTGTGACCGGTAAATACGGAACGGTTCGTGGATTTCATTACTTTTTTCACAAAGTCGGATAAGGGACTTATGACCCAACACGACATTTAAACTCTTGTTTCAAATCTTCAATTTATATAGAGATATGGTGCCTCTCTTCGTAAACAAATCAAGAAGATGGAAATCACTCAACATGCTCGTTACACCTGTACATTCTGTGGAAAGGTTTGTTGATTTGGATCTTATTCAGAAACATGATTTCAAGCATCAACTCGATTCCTAAATTTATTTCTTTGGTAATCATTAGGACTCCGTCAAGAGGACAGCTGTAGGTATTTGGGAGTGCAAAGCTTGTCGCAAAACGATTGCTGGGGGTGCATGGACCGTCTCAACCACAGCTGCTGCCACTGTCCGAAGGTACGACCTGTTCTGATTTAAATCTTTTCTCACAAGTACTATCGTATAGAGATTAACTGATTCTGATTTGTCTTTTCTTACAGTACTGTACGTCGATTAGCAGAACTCAGGGAAGCATAAATAGAAGCTTGTCATTACATTTTAGTTCAATCTATGACGAAATTCATCTATGCTTTCTTTGATTTGTTGCATGCAATCATTTTTCATCATATTTACCTGTGCACTACGATTTTAATTACTCCAATCATCTTCGTCGTCCGAGATCCGTCATTTAAATAAGACACATATTCCGACTATATGAGACTGACCCAATTTGCTACTTAGGCTGGACATTGGGTTTATCGGCAATTTTCCTCAACTTGTGCATGCACAGAAGCTGACGCTTATCATGCATGTGTCAGTGGTGCGACATCTATCAATGTGCTTCAACCCTCAGGCTTGGTTCAGAATCTTGTATGTTTTACAAATACAAATTGCCTGGTACATTAACATTGCAAGTTGTTTGTAATCTCTATATGCAAGCAATGATGAGAAGATTTATCAAGTGTACTCAACCCCTCAGATAGCCCAATACACTCTATTGGATCTGGGCTTGATAATTTCTCAGAATTGTGAAGCTTGAAAAATGCTCCTCCAGTGTAGCAAAGAGAGACTTGAGGTATCAGCCAGGACCCCGGATAAGTCCTATAAACCCTAGGGATGAAAAAGGAATGAATCAGACCCTTCAATTTTTGCTATGTTAGGGATGAAAAAGGAATTATCCGCCCCGGTCCTGGTCACATGTTAGGGATGTGGATGAATGAATCTCAGTTGGACAAAAATCTCCCTCTCAGATGATACTGATGTACCATGAATGAACAGCATGATTAATATCCCATTTCATAAGTTATTTCCCCATTAACCTTGAAAGGAACAAACAGAAATTCACATTCAACAAGGGTTTACACAAGTTGCTCATATGCAAGTTGAGTTGTGCACAAGGGACATAGCTTGCATTCATTCAAAAATCAATTTTTTCTGACTCCCCTTTACTCTGAGGAGTATTCACCCCTGTTGAAACAAATTTTGTACATTGAAATAAGCTGATCTAGGTACAAGAATCACGTCAAGATTATTTGCCTTTTCCAATGTTCCAGAAACAAAATTGAAGTCCTCAAAAATTCTCCCAAACCAGCTTTCCAATGTTAGGGATGTGGGGGAATTAATTTCCAAAACTCTTAAAAACCTGGCTTTTAGGTTAGGGATGAAACAGGAATTAATGGCCTCAAAAAAACAAAAAAAGAGGTATGAATTAGGAGGTTTTGACCAATTTTCCATCCCTGTCATTTATAAGACTTATCCGGGGTCCTTATCAGCCCTGGAAAGAGGGGAGAAAAAAGCGAGATCCTCACAATGAAACCTGGTACGCTGACCAAAGTGGCAAGAGGTAAAGACCACTGAAAACAAAGTGGTTCAACCAGCAGAATCCAGGAAGAAATTTGACTGAGAGTAGGATAGGTCAGTTTTGCTTGAGCTTCATAAAGGAATTGTGACCTACACTTCAATTCCATAAGCACTGCTGAGAACCATACAAGCTTTGAAGAATCACAAGATGGATACTAGATGAATCACAATCCTGAAAAAGATACATTGTAAAAAAGCAATAGAAGATCTGTATGGTGAAAAGCTGCAGGAGAAGAGCTACTTACAACCAACATATATATCCTGAACCACACAGAAACATTCTTCCTTTTTGCTGAGCATCATGTAAGACAAACATCCCTAGCAGCACTGTAAAAACAAATTCCATAGTGAAGGCCATAGTGCTATTCAAGATTCCACATCAATCCATTATTAGTAATGTGATCAAAGGAAGCTCTGTTTGAGAGAGAAAACAAACCGGCTGGGCCTGGGGTGAAGAACTACTTTGTGGTTGCTTCCAGCTAGGGCTGTGGCCTGGACCTGTGAACTCAGGGCCGGCCTTGCGACCAGACCTGGTCCTGATGTGACCTGATGGCTTCAAAAAATAGCTTGGCTCACTCAGGGCAGGACCAGAAGTTGAGCCCTGAGGCTTGGTAGGGGCAATGGGTGATGATCAGCTGGCAGGTAAGTTGTTATGTGTAAGCTGGTTTTCATTCAAACATTGTTTATTGTTAGGCTTTGTGACAAGAAAACCAATGCCGACCCGGTCAGGTCAGGCGCCCCGGACGCCCACAGGGCCTTTTGGAGCATTTCCAGGCTAGGTCTTGTGGCCCTGGGCCCAGCCATGTCGACCATGGAGATGTGATTGGGCAGACCGGGCCAGTCAGGTTTGGGTCCAGGCCACAGCCCTACTTCCAGCCACCCTACCTACTGACCATAGAGTTGAAAGACTAATGGAGTTGGCATTTGTTATGTGTTCTTGAGGTGATATTACTCCTACATATAGGAGGTAGCCAGCACATGCAGATAGAGCACCAAAAGTTGCGCCAAGGAGGTATGACAAGATATAAGCTAACAAATCCTTCATTTGGAATTCTTCAAAGATCTACCATGGTGAATGTAAGCAATCATGAAAAGTGAGAGATGAGTGAAAAGGTCCAAACAGTCAGGGTTAGAGTGATACCAGGGTTGAGATGGACACCCATGTGACAAGGGCAAGGGATAAAACTAGCATAGGCAAAAGTGAAAAAAAGGGGAAAGCATTGAAAAGAATGGAAAATCAAGGCAGTCTCAGTGAGAACGCTTAGTTTCTAGTGGTGAGTATTGCTTAAAAATACATGATTGCCAACTAAATCAACGGAATAGCAGGTGGAAATGGTTAGTGATTGGATAATTTCAAGATTAAGTGGAATATTGATGCCTGCCAAGATTGATGTAAATTTACATTACGAGCTGACCCACTATTCCCAGACACAAGGTGTGCTGAGCAAAAGAAAGGTCAAAGTCAGTGGTATATTGAGATGGATAGATTGACTGCTGATGAATATAAATTGACTACATACCAATTTTGATTGTTTCAGCACATAGAGCATAAATGAAAACCCCAGTAAACTCAAATATACAGTTTGTAAGGTGATCCTGGGTCTGATGAGAAAGAAGAGCCTGATTTTATGTGTTCTTCTTTAGTTTGATATTGTTGTCATTCTTCTCTAAGTCACTGAGGTGAGATTGATGTTGATCAATAAATATTTTACACTTCTTGATATGATGTATATCTGAAGCGAGTAAGATGGTGGGGAAGCCAAAAAGAAACAATGAGCTTTGGAGTCAAAGAGATGGAGTCGGTTTGGATTCAGGGCAATTGGGCCCAAAAATCAGTCCCAGATAGCCTAAACTCAACTTCTACCTAGGGTGTGAGTGCAGCCAAAATCAAAATCCCAACCAACCCTGTGCCAGCAATGCAACACACCACAGCATTGTGTTTTTTTTGTTGTGTTGCGCTGCAATAAGCAACAAAATTTAGCAACTCATGCTTCATTGCGCACAATACAGCAACAAGAAAACTGAGGCTAGGTTGTGTGACGCCTCCACTGTTGCGCAATGCAACATGCGCAACAGCAACAAAAAAAGTTGAATTATATTTTTTTGTGAGCAGCAACGCAACAAATGTTGTTGCGGCGCAAAAAAAATGCAGACCCCAGGGGATCTTGTTGTGTTGCGGTTCGAGCCGCAACATATATATTGACTATGTGGTGCTGTGCGGTCAAAAAAGCTGCAACACACACGGAGCGCAGCACGCAACATTTGCGTTGCTGGCCCAGGGTTGTCCCAACTTCTCCTTGTTCTACTCCAGCTCAGTATTACAACTCCTTCCAATTAATCGCTTCAACACTCAACATTATCAGGTACATATCAGAGTGTATGTACATTGCAACCGGTTCCAATTGATTGCTTCAATAGGCCAGGCCAATTCTCAGCAATCAGCCCAACACAAAGCTTCCAATCAAATCTCCAATCAAAATCCGTTTGAATCTAAGCTTTATATCACAAGCCATTCCAATTGATTGCTTCAATAAGCAACCTGAATTCTCAGGAACCGCCAGATGGCATTGATCAATCTTGAACGGCTTATTGGAATCAGTTAGAATCCCTCTTCATATTGTAACACCTTCTGATCCGTTGCTTTGATAAGTAAGATGGATGGTCAGGAACAAGCCAAATGTGATTCAATCGATTATTCCAATGAGTTAGAATGGCCCTTAGCTCTCTCAGTACTGTGCTGCTTGACCCTGTTTGTTTGACGCAGTTCTACAATTTGGGGTCTTGCGGTCTGTGCTGAGAGTTTGGGGTTTTTCAACTTGGATTTCCACCCAGCTGGCAGGAATGCTGATAGATACCTTACCGCTGTACTGGCAACGCCGCCACAGATACGGTGCTTGTACCGGTACCGCACCGTACCGTACCCAGGATACCGTACCGACTTTAGGGGTACGGCACCACAAGGCCTTGCCTGACGGTATCGGAGGGCCCGGTACGGTAATTCGTACCGTAATTGTTTTGAGGTACAATATCCAATACCTAGGCTGTGCAGTACCGGAAATCGGATACGGTATCAGTACCGTGTCTGCTTTTGGTTGGGGAGGGGTGGTAGCCCTCTGGCCCACGTCTTCATATCCAGATTTGTAAGTTCATTCCTTCTTCTTCACTCTTGATATCCCTGCATTCACCCAATTCGTACGCTTTTTCACTACTAGCTCCGATCTCGACATGCAACCATGGCTATGGAAATCAAAACCAGGCTGCGCAAGGGTGGCAAGGCGGTATATGAGCAGCCTATGGCGCTCCTCAACAAGGTTTGTCCCAAATCCATATGTCTTTTCAATCCATCCATCTTCAGTTTCTGTTACTTTAACTCATAACTCTCAATTTCCGCTTTTTCAACACAGTCTCAACCATTTCGCATTCATCCTTTC